TTGGTGGGAACGCCGAACGAGCAATGCTGATGTACTTCGAATGGTACTTGGAAGGACCAACTCATCCTCGATAGCTAAAAGGATCACGCTGCATAGGTTACGCTGGCTTGGCCACGTGCTGCGTATGCCGTTCGACCGACTCCATCGGAGGGTTCTTTTCGCTAGACAAACGTAAAGGGTGGAAACGATCCAGAGGCGGTCAAACATGACTTGGCAGCAAATTATAAAAGCCGTTACCAGCGAACTCAGCTACACTGGCCATTGCCGTTTTCCTGAATGGTGACCCCGAGACAAGGCCACATTAATGGTTGAAGGCATTCTCAGACATGGCCTAGTCGCGCCCTCAATGGCGCTCGTGCATCCAAGCTATTGCCCTCCAAATTCCTCCACTTGACGGTCCACTGACAGTGCTATATTTACGCACCAACTTATCACTCCCGCCTCCAATGCGCAGCTATTTACCCCACCTCCCCAAATCATCAATGAACGAAACTGTGACAGCTACAACCACTGTATGACAAGTACGCGTTTCTTACAGCTGACAATGATGATGATATGCAGGGGTTGGCGTCGTTCTAAGTCACTGGATGGAAGGATGCCTGCCTGGCTGAATGCCTATTGATAATCGCCTGTGTGCGGTTCATCCGGCAACATCTGTGAAGGAGTTTCAATAGCGGGAAGTTGATTGCTGTCCGTTCCTCGTGTCTGGTTACGCCGCAGCCGACTGTAAATATAACACCACCAAGGGCAAGTTTTATGACGCCTTGAGTACTCTGCTGCTTTAAGCTAGAAGCCAAGATATTGTTGTGGTTGCCGGAGATCTAATTGGGCAGGCTTACTGCATCTGATAGTGGATTAGGATATGGATTGGACTCGGTATGTACGGAAAACGGTTGTTTCAGATCTATGCTAACCGCAGTCTGTTATTATACTGTACCTACTTCGAAATAGCCGAAGTCCTTCGGCCACATGGTTTCTTCCAACGGCGTGCCGCCCACGAACTCAATTTGATCACCGATGGTGCGGATCAGTGACCGACTGCCACTCGTTTTGGAACATTTGTGAATATGATTACGCCTCGTCCGGAGTCGCTTCTTGGCCGCGTAAGATGTTGCCAAATCGCTTAACAACTGAAAAACCTGCTGATCCGGATGTTGGAAGAATTTGCGAGAATCGTCTTCTAGAGGCTCTTCAACTTATCATCACACTCCGTTAGGTGCTAGAACAACGCCTTACGTACGAGCGAACCACAGCTTTAGTATTCCTGGATTTCCAAGGCGCATTAGACTTGGTTGATCGGTCTGTTTTTAACACGATGGCCCATCGAAGAAATTCCCCGGAAGTTTGTGAACGTAATACGTTCTTTGTATTCTCAGACTTTTGGACGCAAGGGGTATACGGAGAGCTCTCCAAAGGCTTCCTTACACAAAGCCTTGTCCGTCAGAGATGTCCACTCTCTCCATTCCTATTTAATTTCGTGAGTGACGAAATAATGAGACGAACGCCTGAAAGTCTCCAAAACTCCGATGTTCAAATAGCCTGCCACGAAAACCTTGATCTGGAATATGCAAATGTTCTCGTGCTCGAAGAGGAGGAGTAGGCGCAGATGTTCGTAGATGAACCGACCAACGCCATCCAGTTCATTGTTATGGACTTTGCACCTACAAAGTGTAAGGTCATGCTCCTGTACATGCATTCACTGGACACTGCGATTCAGGGAAAGGCACTGGAAGTTGTGGAGCGTTTCACGTACCTTGGAATTTGCATTAGGTCTGATTATAGTGTGACAGATGCGGTCAATGAACGAATCTGAAAGGTTCAGGTCGCGTTCGCTAATTTGAGCTACCTATGGCGTGAAAGTAGTATATCCCAGAATCTCAGTGGAAGTGCGTATCAGGCAACAGTGTGGGTTGTTTCGTTGTATGGCTGTGAGATTTGGCCAGTTCGAGCAGCGGATTTGAGATGTCTTCAGGTGTTCCACAGTCGATGTCTCAGGACCATAGCTTGTATGGGTTGGTGTCAGATAATACGAAATCTGCCAATTAGAATGTGAGATTTCGGTTGTTTAACTGGGACTTCCATCGAAGTGTGTCCAGCACCAGAATATGCATTGGTTAGGCCATGTATTGCGCATATGAAACCACGGTCTGCCTAAGAGAGTTGTTTTCGTGCCCACTTCAAACTGGCGGAATCAGAGAGTTGGCCAACCTTTGACCTGGCAAAGGGGTATGAAAGAGATTACGAAATGTTTGCGTAATGTCGGTGCTACTCGCCTTCCAGGATGGGGACCACGTGATCCCCACTGCGCCTGGTTGGGGACAGTACAAGATATGACTGCTAATCCATGTCGATGGCGTTCTTATTGTCACTTTCTGTCCAGGTTGCCTGAGTATGTGTTTGGAGGTGTATGCATCTAGGAGTGATTTTAGTAAGATAGCACTCAGTTCATTTCTGTCTATGCTTGTTTTTTCTTTACAATGAGTCTTTCAAATAAACCATGGCCTTACGTTAGCGAAACGTCACTGCGGAACACTTCATGTTGTCGATGGCGATGATGATGTTCACAAACGTCCAGGCATTTCTCCTTAGGCGAACATGTTAAGGATAACAAACCGGTCAATCGGGCTGAATAAACTCTGGAGAACCAGGTGTTTTAAATTCACTAGAGGCAGTGGTGGTTCACCGCCGCACAACCATTTAATTTAGAGCCTTATAGTGAGAAGAAGAGAAAAAGAGTGGGTGTTGCCCGCGCAGTCATTCTAGCACTCATGCCGGACCACCACATAGAAATGGATACTTTAGGTAGGGATTTAATAGTGGTAGAGACTCGTCCGAATAGATTGTATATGATGTTCCTCAAGAGTTTTCGACACCCCTACAAGTTTTGTTACATCATGTAAATCCATTTTTTGTTCTTCTCCCATTGGGTCACTTGTATGTGTCTCAGATCCATTCGCAAAATACTGCTGTCATATCTAGCAGTGTACTCCCTCTACAGTGCGCTCTCAGTAATATTCAACGAAGCGTCGGACATGCTGTTGACCCCCCTTTTGCCGGCCGTCGCGTCGATAACCTGAAAGCCTTTACTCACAGATGGCACGTAGCCCCTAGTCACTGCTTTGTGATTATTATCACGGTAACTGCTCCGATGAACTATAGTTTCCCGTAACACTTCCACGGTTGTTCCCTCCCTAGTCGCGCACACCAAGTTCCAGCCCTTCGCTGCCCGTACAGAGCTATTTCCCTCTTTCACTTCCCGTTTTTTTCGAAATGCCTATGATTTTCGAATTTTCAAGACTCAGGTTAACGTTAATCTGCCCAAACCTTCATGACCCTTCACGCTTCTAAACTATTCATTTGCTCATTTACTCGTCAATATCGTAGTGTTTTCATTTCGTTAATTCTTCAGTGCCTCTCAAGTTTGGTCTATTTGAGGTCTGTTACTCCTACAAGGAGTCCCTGGTTAGAATTACCGTCTTCCCCATGAACTATTTTTGTGGGTGATACGAATAAGCACTCGTCCTTTCTTACAGAGCACTATTTCAGCTAGTACACCGGTATGAGGCTTGCAGATGAAAATACTAATATGCCGCGTCGGTTATCGCATATTGTCAGCAGTGCATACTGCAATGCTGTCGTACGGCAACGTGTTTTTGAAGGTATCGTACACATTTCCTCCACCATGCAGTCTGGTATCACAATTCTGTCTTGCCCAACAGGTCCACCAACCAAGCTTCTATGGATAACCCAGTCACCTTGGCATCTCCCAAACGTGACGTGTCAGAGTACTCATTTGACTGTTGGCACATAGCTCTTGTAGAGCACCACATTCTCAAATCGGTCGGCCCCGAGCGAGAGGTAATCCTTAGTCTAACCCACGTGTCCATACGTCGGACATGTTTTCTGCATTTTTAGGCTTTCGAACGTCAGCTCCGATTACCTAACCTACCGGAGATGATATTCGATAAGAACAGACTTTGCGTGGATTACAAAGGTAAGCTGTCTATCTGACAAGCGAGTATGGACCTTGTTTGCCTTGCCATGCAGCCGGTTTGAAACCTCGTTGTGCAATCGAGTTCACTGCGTTAGATGCCTTGCAACTGGTTGACGCAGAACAGATCTCAGTTCAAGTAGGTGATACCGAATTTAGATTGTTTTGATGTTATTACAGGTTCCAATAGCTAGAGCCTGGCGGGAAGCTCGCGCTAATGCGGAAGAGCAGTTGGACCATCCAAAGCCCTATGATTGGACATTCACAACATTATACACAGGCACACTTCTGGGTAGGTTTGTTCCCAATGCATCGTGATGCCCTTGAGCTTGCGGTAACTCAGTGTGCGTCATATGCACATAACCAGGAGTTTTTACCCCTCTGTTGAGAAACACAGTAGTGTATCAGCTTCTGAGGTCACTTTGGGTTGCGTGGCAATTTGTGCACCTCATTAACGCATAAGCCATGCTGTGGACCATACGTGTGACATCTCATGTTGATGGAAGCCTGAATAACACCCTTGTTCTCCAGTCTATGGTTGAAACGTGTGTGCCGATTTGTTCCTTAAGAATTCCAGTTGTGGTAGGTTTCGCCGCAGCTGTAGACACTTTGGAATTCTTGCTGTACCTCCGAAGCCTAGTTCGTGTATCGGTCTTTACCGTGCGCACTCAGGTGCTAGAAAACATTGGTGAGAGGCCAGAATGTCCTCCGTCGCGCTTCCTCTGTAACTTACTAATCGATATGCTCCTTGAGTCCTCACTTGACACTAACACGGAGCTCACTCGTGTCTCCGAAGAACTGTACGGAACTAGTGCAGTATATCAGTAGTGCTGGTATACTCCAGGTGGCACCTGGACAATCCATTCCCCCATGTGCTTCATACGACAGTGGACCGTTCGCCTTGAGGAGACCTTTCCGCCCACACCCAGTCCGTGATTTAGCAACGAAGCATGAAAGTCCTTACCAACAAACTCATTCGGATTGGTAAATACTGTCTCCCCGGGTGCGAATCGCGGTACGACAAACTAATGGTTCGTAACCGTGACATACACGGCTGTTACGCAGCCAGTTGCGGTGTTGCACCAATGGTATCATCTTCGCTGCGTAGATTCCACTCCATGCCATACCGGACAAGCAGATCCATTTGACGTAAATGAACTGATTGGGCCCCCGGCTCTAACGTTTTCCTTCCCATTCTCTTTGTTGCATAGTTTGTGACTAAAAAAATCTAAGCGAAATTCGAGGCGATCATTGTTTCTACAGTCCTGAACAAGTGTAACATAAGACAAGGCTCAGTTGACTGAAGCCGGACTGGAACCACGTTTTGCTGACTATCAGACATAGAACCGCTTTTACATTCTCCCACAAAACTTGGGGTTGCTCCTTACTGAACCCGATAGATTCCCTAGCGGCAGCAACTCTACAGACCGGAAGTAGCCTACAAATATTTACCGACGCAGGTCAGATGGATGCTTGATGGTGATGATGAACTAGGATGCCTATCGATGGTATACGTATCTTCTGTGTCAGTTGCCATTTATGCGCCACAAAACGAGGATATTCTTGTGACAAGCGAACGGGGCTTCAACCCTGAACTAGGATGCCTATCGATGGTATACGTACCTTCTGTGTCAGTTGCCGTTGCACTTTCGTCATTTACGCGCCACAAAACGAGGGTATTCTTGTGACAAGCGAACGGGGGCACAACCTTCGCCAATAGGACAAGAAATTCGAAACTTTGAAGAGAGGAAATGTCACGTATTTATAGAGACACCATGAAGCATGATTGGAACAGCTTATGGATTCTAAGCATCGTCCAGCTGTAACACTTTTTCGGTGCCTAACTGCCACACTATCCAACGGATTCACAAGGACTGATATCCTGCAAGTTTGTCGAACCATGACAGTAGCAGTCAAGATACCAGGTTTGGACTCGAGCAGGGTACTTTTGGCCATTAAGTTTGCGCCCTAACCACTGAACTGTCCCGAGCTGTATGGATTGTGTACGCTTAGGTACCTAAATTATTCCAGACTACAGGCTTCAACGCACACAGGATTTACCAGTCAATACACAGTATCATGAACAGTGAGCATCTTTGGCGCTTGGTAACTGGTTCATTTGTCCATCACCTGGCAGCTTCTGGTATGTGTTCGTAAGTTCTATTCCGAGGGTTATACTTCAAAACAGCACACATCCGTACTCAGCATGCGTAAAAAAGCCACGGGATCTCTTCAAAAAAGTGTACTACTGGACCCATTTGAATATCCGTTTTAGTTTCTGGTTATTAAAGAAGGAAGAAACCTGTCTGAGGCGGGAAAGTCGGGGCCAGCAAAAGTCAGATGCCCTCTTGAGTAGCCTTGGTTACGTTCGATTTCGACCGCAGGTGTTTGTGTCGGAATGGGTATTATACACCTCACTACTATACCTGAACAGCGAAGCATTCGTTCTAATAATAACCCACTGTTATCATAGTCCACACTTCACTTTTATTTTGCCAGGTGACTGGACCATCGAACCATACGAACCCGGATTAGATCTAGCCCTTCTCCAACGGCGTGATCCCATTCTGTTCTATGCCGAGACCACACTTTACGAGGATGAACTTGGTGACAACGGGGTGGCTATGTTACACCTCAAGCTGCGCGCGATGAACACCGGATTTCTCCTTCTGCAGCGTTTCTTTTTACGTGTGGACGGTGGACTGGTACGCGTGTATGACACGCGTCTTCAATGGCGTAAAGGTGACAAGTGAGTCCGTGCGTTGTTTTATCCCAATTACCGTTATTCCGTTTGGCTAGCATGCTCCTTACGACTGCTTTCGTTCATCGGCTTTGTGGACATCACTACAACTGAAGGGTATATTGGCATTTCGGCTCCTTGCTGTTCTTGGCGGAGCTGAGCAGTCGGATTTCACCGTCAGTCCAGTTGATTTTCCGCTCTTCGGTTTGGCGATGGCAGTGTGTGACCAACAGTCTTAAAACCACTGCTCTGAAGAAGGAGCGAAAACCATGGAACTTATGTGGTGAAACCAATTAGAAACTGCATTTATTGGAGACAAATTAGCATTACCGAATTTGCATGTACAAATGCTTGTCGTTAATGAATGACTCAGCTGTAGAACCCTCACGGTGCCTAGCTGCCATGCCACTCGTAGGAAGCACGAGGGCCGAAATACTGCTAGGCTGCTCAAACCTAGAAAGGAGCAGTCGAGACGCAGTGGTCGGATTCGAACTACGGACCTTCGAGTCTACAGGTGTGCGCCTCAACTGCTTTGCCATCTCAAAATCTCTTACAGAAATATGAAACTGACTAATCAGTTTACACCTATGACAGCCACATTTTGACCGTTGTTTTCGTGCCTGGTAATGAAACTTTTGCATCCGGCTTGCCTAGCGAGTCAAGCAAAACGTTGGTCATCGTGGACGTAGCAAGCTAGATTTGACTACTGTCCATTGTGTCCAGTAATCAATTGGGCCACGTTGAATTACGCGCAAAACCCCAAAAGCCAAACCGTTCAACTTGTGGTTTATCAACGACTGCATGACCCTTTTGACTGTTTGGAACTCGGGACGAAGAGCTTTTGGCTCAAACTGGAAGGGGTGACGAGGCTTTTGTCCTCAAGGGGACAGTGTTCATGGTTGCCCCAGTAGTGGAGAGGCCACGACAGCGGTTAAAGCCATCGTAGTGGAAGCCAACTACTAGTAAAGACCGCATCTGATAAGAATAGGCGCGATATACGTCTCATCCACCTGCTGGAAGCAATAAAAGATAGATAGGTGCTCACCCACTCTAAGCACATTCTCTGGATTGAGTGAGGCGTTCGTGGCTAAAGCAATTTTCCCGTTGAGCTCATTCTTATATGCGGTGAATTGAGGTGGTGGATCTGGAAAAGCTATGCTGGCTTTTGGGGGCGGTGTTGGTTGTCTTCTATTCTTATTTTGGTGTGACGTGATTTCCCGTTTTCGTTGCTCCGGTTTTGCGCCTATACCATCTTTCTTGTCTTTGACCTGAACTTACACCGCTCTTTGACCTTGTCACCTCACGTGTTGTTTAAATCAACCAATGGGTTTCGCTCTGTTGTAACCACCTTGCATCGAGTCCGTGTGGACTTTGGGATCCCGTTAGGAGTTCGTAGTTCGGTGTATAGTAGCCGGCCTAGTACCACAACTTGTGGTTTAGGCAAACAGAAATGTGGATCGGAATACTGTTGATCACTTCCAACTGTCAATGGGGCCATGCATTTGTCGATAAAGCAACATTTGAACGACTTGGCTTCTGGGGTTTCGCACTTAGCTGAACGTGGCCCATACGGTTACTGGAAGTGGTCAGTAATCTAACCCTTTCTGGTGCGTTTTATTTCGTGGTTTTCGTCGACATGAGTGCGCATGCATTTGTACTATTTCTAGCAAGGTTGTTGTAATAGTAGCTGTGTTGGAATGTGGATCGCCGGACGAGGTCACTTAGGAATCGATTGATCCGTGGTTATTTACCACATATTGATGTCACCAGAAGCAGGGTTGGTTGTGAATTAGGTAGCCTGTTGTTGATGTTTTCGCCGAACATGGGAATTCGCCACATGCGGGGACACCATTGGTACGTGGTTCGATGGATAAAACCTCCTTACACACTTTCATTTACATAACTTTAAGAGTATTTCATATCCCTTAAATTGATTCGCCGGTAAGATGCAGTTTTATCGGCATCTCACTGGCTAGTTTACGATTTGTGCCGTACCGTGGCCCACATACCTTCCATTCGACCGGCTCGTTGAG